TTTGGGAGGAGTTGGTCTACTGGAGGAGTCTGTAAGGGTGTCCCACCGAATCGCTGCTTCAGTAAACCTGGAGTCTTGAGCTCCTACCACGTCTCTCAAGCACTGGAAGCCAAACACGAAGACAGAAAAGCAGGTAAAGCAACATGCGTTGCTTTGCGCACCCCTATACCTCCCAGTCGCACTGGGAGGGTTGCCTGATCCCATTGCTGATCCTCTAGTGACAGGTTCAGTGCCTTCTTAAAAGTTGATCTCAGGAGTGCGTCATATTCATCAAGTGTTGGGTTGTCAAAAGAGGGTGCACACCTCAGGAAGTGAGTGAGTCTTGGCATAGTAAGACACCTTGTGAGGAGATACAGAGTGTGTATATATATTACGGATAGCCAGTGGTTTGGAATACTGCAAAATTCTTTAATATTCTGGTGGTCAGAGCTGCTACATGGACCAACTTAGAAGAGGTGAGTGTGAATGTTGAGTCCTGTGGGAAGAAAAAGCTGTCGGTCCATGTTGTTCCATGTTGGTCCATGTTGTTCCATGTTTCATGTTCCATTTTGGTCCATGTTGTTCCATATGTCCCATGTTGGTCCATGTTGGTCCATGTTGTTCCATGTTGTTCCATGTTGTTCCATGTTGTTCCATGTTCGTCCATGTTGGTCTATGTCGATCTATGTCATTTCTAACTCTTGGTGTGTTGTGTGTATGTATACGTGTATGTGTGTACTCACCTATTTGTGGTTGAAGGGGTCAATTCATAGCTCCTGGCCCCTCCTCTTCACTGATCGCTACTTGGTCCTCTCTCTCCCTGCTCCATGAGCTTTATCAAACCTCGTCTTAAAACTGTGTATGGTTCCTGCCTCCACTTGCCAGACTATTCCACTTCCTGACAACTCTATGACTGAAGAAATACTTCCCAATATCCCTTTGATTCATCTGGGTCTTCAATTTTCCAATTTTGTTTCTGTGTCCCATCTCTGAAACATCCTGTCTCTGGCCACCTTGTCAATTTCTCGTAGTATATTGTATGTCGTTATCATGTCTCCCCTGACCCTCCTGTCCTCCAGTGTCGTTAGGCCGATTTTCCTTAACCTTTCTTCGTATGACATTCCCTTTAGCTCTGGAACTAGTCTTGTTGCAAACCTTTGCACTTTCTCTGATTTCTTGACGTGCTTGACCAGGCGTGGGTTCCAAACTGGTGCTGCGTACTCCAATATGGGCCTGACGCACACGGTGTACAGAGTCTTGAACGATTCCTTACTGAGGTATCGGAACGCTGTTCTGAGGTTTGCCAGGCTCCCATATGCTGCAGCAGTTATCTGGTTGATGTGCGTCTCAGGAGATGTGCTCGGTATTATACTCACCCCAAGATCCTTTTCTTCGAGTGAGGTTTGCAGTTTTTAGCCACCTAGACTATACTTTGTCTGTGGTCTTCTTTGCCCTTCCCCAATCTTCATGACTTTATATTTGGCAGGGTTATATTCAAGAAGCCAGTTGCTGGACCAGGCTTGTAGCCTGTCCAGGTCTCTTTGTAGTCCTGTCTGATCCTCATCCGATTTAATTCTCCTCATTAACTTCACATCATCTGCAAACAAGGACACTTCTGAGTCTATCCCTTCCGTTATTTCATTCACGTATACCAAAAATACCAGTTAGGCTGTTAGGCGATATAGTTAGCCATTTGTGTTGATAGACTGTGTCTCTGTTAGCTGTTAGCTATTTCTTACAGATGTAATGTGTCTCACAGCTGTTAGCTGTGTCTTACAGCTGTGGCATCCAAGGTACTTGTTTACCTGGTGGCAGGAGAGTGCCAAGACTGGACCGGTACTCTCTGCCATAACTTTATTCTCACTTGGTGCTGTTAATACTTTGATTTAGATGTTATTATTATTTTGATTTAGATGGCATTATTACTTCGATTTAGTTGGTGTTACACTCCAAGTATTGTAACCACTATTTCCTTCTTTTTAGAGCATAACAACTTTGGTCAGAGAGGTTAGGATAATAATAGTGATCCTCCGGAATGCCTAATTTTAATTAAGTATATTCATAATACAACAAAAGCCAGAAATAATATACGAATTATCGTATATAAGTTAAGATGATTAGGAGGAGATCCTAGATATAACATATATGTATATAGAGATTACTTTAATGTATAAAGTCTTGTTTCCCAATTGGAAGCAGTCAGAATAAAACAGAATATGTCCAGGCCGGCTAATAAACCTTGGCCAGTTACCAGAGACGAGCAGGAGTGTTCTCGTTGGCTGCTACTTCTTCACTGCTCGTCCCTCAACCTTGAGCATACAGGTAAAGTGGGTCACGTGACGTGACTCACCAACACTCAGTAGAGTAGTTGAACATAAAGGGGGGGGGGGAGAAGGGGGGTATAACCATCGAACATCACGGCTAACTATACACCGGCACACCGGGCGGCAGGCAGGTTACTATACCTCCAATTAAACTTATCATGGCCATGTTACATAAATCATAATTGTTAATAAGAATTAGCCTTAATAATACAAGGACGTTCATTTCCAATTTAGCTATTAAAGGAAATAACCGCAATGTAATATTAAAGGAAGGTTAACCATAGGGGCATGACACCCCGGCCCACAAGCAAATATCTCGGCGTTTAAGATGCTGATGGTGGGGAAGAAACCAACCAGCTGGTATAGGGATGGAGGTACATCATTCCAAGGTTAGTCATCCACTTGCTAGAACTGGACCAGAAACACTGCTAGACTGCAAAGAATTTCCGTAGTTAGGCAATATATTAGGAGCGAGAGAGAGCATCGGCTAACACGTTGCTCGAACCCTTTATGTGAAAAATGGAGATCCTGTAAGGTTGGATCCTTAAAGCCCAGCGTAATATTCTAACATTTTTTGATTTCATAGAATTTATGAAAGAGGATTATGGTCTGAGTAAATATTTATCACATGAGGAGTATAACCGAGGTATATGTCAAAGTGTTCCAAGGACAACACTAAAGCCAGGGCTTCTTTTTCTATGGTTGAATAAGATCTTTGATATTCTTTCAATTTATAGGAAAAATAACATATTGGATGTAGAATATTACCGTTTTGGAAGGATTGCAATAAGACGGCACCTATTGCTGCATCACTGGCATCAACATGGAGGGTGAAAGGAATTTGGAAATTGGGTGCACGCAATACTGGGGCAGAGGAAAGGAAACGTTTTAAACGTTTAAAAGCTTGTTCACAATTCTCGTCCCAATTAAATTTATATTTAGGACTGGTCAATCTAGTCAGGGGGGAGGCAACTTGAGCGAAGTTTGGGCAAAAAACGCCTGTAATAAGTAGCCATTCCCAAAAATCGTTGGAGGGCTTTCCTGTCCTGAGGAATAGGAAAATTTAAAATAGCTTGGACCTTTAATTGGTCGGGGGCTACTAGTCCCTTCCCTATTTTAAAACCGAGATATTTAATCTGGGCTTTACCAAAGTCACATTTTTGTAAATTTACAGTGAAATTGTATTTCTGCAATGCTTTCAGTAGTTGCTCTAATCTTTCTAAATGAGACTGCCAGTCATCACTAAAAACCACCAGGTCGTCTAAGTATGCCTCTACACCTTCTAAGGGTTGGACTAAAATGTTCATAATTCTCTGGAAAGAGGAGGCGGCGTTACACAAGCCGAAAGGCATAACCTTATACGTAAATAGTTCGTTCTTAACTACGAACCCGGAAATCTCTTGGGTCCTAGGAGTTAACGGCACCTGGTAATACCCTCTCAGCAAGTCTAATCTGGTCACAAAGTTGGCACCGGCTACAGCATCTATTAAATCATCAATCCTGGGTAATGGAAACCCATCTGGTTTGGTGACTGAATTTACTTTACGGTAATCCGTGCATAGGCGTACGGTACCATCGGGTTTTGGGACCAATAAACAGGGAGAGGCCCAAGGTGTCTAACTGGGTTTGATCAAATTATATTCCAGTAATGTATTTATTTCTTGTTGAATTAATTCTTGCTTAGCAGGAGAGACCCGGTAAGGGGATTGCTTTATTGGACTATCTTCTAACAATTCAATATCGTGGAAACCCAATATACAAGGAGTAGGGATATCTTTGAAGATGGAGTTATATTTAGTGATTAACTCTTTTATTTGAGATTTTTGGGAGGTAGGAAGAACTTCCAGGAAATGGTCTAGTTCTTTTAAAACTTCAGAATTATGTAGTCTAAATTCTCTTACTTCCCTTACAGTGTCATTCCTTATTTCAGTGGATGTAGGTTGAATAGAGGTAATAATAGTAGGGAGAAGGCTAGACTCGTACTTCTTTAAGTTATCTATGTGATACCTCTTAATTTTCTTACGACGTCCTGGTTCACGGACCAGATAATTCACCTCATTTTCTTTGTCTACTATTTCATATGGCCCCAAATATCTAGGTTTTAAAGAATGTCCTGGAATTAAGTTTTTAACTAACACTAATTCATTTGGAGAGAATGAACGAGATTTAGCCTTTTGGTCGTAAGATTTCTTCATTTTGGCTTGAGCTTCTGTCAGATTCACGGCAGCTAAGCTTTTTAATTTGGAGAGATGTTCTTTCCAAAGTAGAGGACTGGGATGAAGAGGTCCTCTCTTCCCTATCCAAGAATCTCGTAATATGGCTAGGGGTCCTCGTACCTGATGTCCAAAAATCAAGTCAAATGGAGAGTATTTAGTACTTTCCTGTTCAGCTTCACGGAGGGCGAAGAGAAGAAAGGGTAAACCTTCGTCCCATTCACGAGAATATTGCTCACAGTAAGCACGTAAAGTAGATTTAAGGGTTTGGTGGAATCTTTCTAGCACTCCTTGTGACTGGGGATGATATGCTGTAGAGAGGATCTGTCTTACTCCTAATCGAGACATAGCCTCTTTAAAAACCTTAGACGTAAAATTAGAGCCTTGGTCAGATTGAATTTCACGTGGTATGCCTACTTGAGCAAAGAAGCGTATTAAAGCTCTTACTATATTTCTGGAATTAATTTTGGACATTGGGATAGCATCAGGATACCGCGTTGCCATATCTGATAGTGAAGATATACTGGTTACCCCTTTTTGTGCGGGGCAACGGTCCTACACAATCAATAACTAATCTTTCAAAAGGTTCTTCAGGACATTTTATTGGAAGTAAAGGGGCAGACGCGGGATTGTGCGCCGTTTTGCCTATTATTTGACAAACGTGGCATTTCCGTAGTTTGTCAGCAATATAAGTCCTCATCTGAGGCCCAAAAAAATATTTCCAAATCTTTTTCTCTGTCTTACGAGACCCTAAATGACCTCCCAGTGGATTATCATGTGCTAGTTCAAATACCATACTACGTAAGGACGATGACACCACTAACAAGTTTCCCTTTGAACTCGAGTCATTATTTCTCTTCCAAAGAAAACCGTCTTCATCTAAAAGGTAACCTTCCTCTTTATCTTTATTGGTTAAACTTTTATCGTCGTTTAGAGCTATAAGAAATTCTTCATTATTACATTTTCTAGCTAGGTCCGCAGGGACTGGTAAAACTTTGTCACCTGTGGGTCTCGACTGAATTGCTTCGATAAACAGGAAGTTCAAACCTAATTCATCGGACATTTCTAAAGGCTGTTGAATATCCACATTTTTAGAGTTCTTAGCCATGGCTCTGGTGACCACATTAAGGGGAAATAAATGTAGCCCTGCCTCAGAGGCTTCTAATGCATAATTTACATCACAAGGATTATCTAAAACCAGAGGCTCTCTGGGTATCTCCAATTGATCAATTTCGTTCCCGATTAATAGATCCACGCCGGCAATGGGAAAAGGTTTATCTGAAAGTCCCACATTGATCCAGCCTACATATCCAGGCAGTTCCACATAAATCCTTATAATAGGGACCTTTATTATTGTGCCTCCGTAAGCCTCTAATAATACGTCTAGCCGGGGTTCACTACTAGTAGGTAACTTTACCAGGTTTGATCTTAATAAAGAGAGATAGCTGCCAGTATCTCGAAAGGTCGTGATGTTTACTAACCTCTCTTTACAGAGTCCGAACTTCCCCTGGGAAAAGTAGGGTTCCATAGCTACTCGGACCTTTTCTTCTGAAGCACTGTCGTGGTAAAGTCATCTATTAGATGGTCTGCTAGACGAGGCCTGAAAAGGTAGAGATTCATCATCCAGAGTTTCATAATTCCGAGAGGAATTTATTACCTGGGTAGGATATCTCCCTCTTGGTTGGGTTTTATCTTCCCGCTGTTTATGCCAACACTGGAACTGTCTATGACCTAACTTACAAAAAAAGGCACAGTGGTAATTGATCTTTAGGATATTGCCTGGAGAAAGAGCCGTTTGTCACCTGTTTTTTGTCTGAATACACCTTCAAAGGTTCGCCAGCTGGAGGTTTCCTAGCAGTCAATCTTGAACTAAAACCTTGGGAGGTAGATTTCTTTTCCGGGGTCTTAGACATTTCTACGGTTATAGCATGGGAAATTTCAAAGTGATCTGCGTGGGCAGCAGTATCTAACAAGTTAGTAGTAGGAAATGTCAAAAGATAAGTATGAACCCTCTCTGGAAAATATTTAAAAAGGTCTTCATGCAACATCAGCTGGGAAAGTGACTCGACTGAGGCGGCTCCCGCGGCCCTACGCCAACGCTCGAAAGCAGAGAGCTTTTCCCTGGCAAAGTCCACCCAAGACTGCTGAGGATATTTCTTCAGAGTTCTAAACATCTTCAAGTAACTGACAGGTAATAAATCATAAGCTTTCAGAAGACAATCTTTTACCCGAGTATAATCAGAATATTGTTCAAAAGGTAAGTTTGCAGTTATGGTTTGAGCTTTTCCTCTTAAAGATGAATGTATTAAAGCAGCCCAATATTTAGGAGGCCATTGCATCACCTTCGCCTGATTTTCGAATGCTTCAAAAAAATGAATCTAAATTATCCTCAGTAAATTTAAGCATCAAAGAGGCTGCTTTACTAAGGTCGAATGAAGGGATTGTATACATATTACTCGATTCTCTTTTCTTCCTCAGTACTTCCAGTTCATAAAGCAAAGATTCACGTTCAAAATTCTCCCTTTTTAATTTTCTCTGAGCTTCTACAAAGGAGGTTTGAAGCGATAAAATACGTTCTAGACGTTCGAAATTCTCCTTAGATTGAATAGTAGTCAAAAGGGCTAAAGAGATTTGAGGTGGAACGTGTTCATCATCCAAAAGGACTTCCTCTTGTTCTGTTTCAAAAACATCTGTAAAGGGTTTACCTGGAACCGTTTCTTTAGCCTGATGGAGTTCTGTTCCCCATATAGTCCTTGGAGATGGAATTGGAGTCGTTGTAGCAGCGTAGCGTTTCCGAGTATCGGGAAGGTCATGTCCGTCGTCTCCAGTAGGGGTTGTTAGCGTCGTAGTTTCGGCCTCGGGTGTCTGTAGTAAAGAATTCAAAAAGGAAGGAATATCTGCTTCTCCATTCTCGATCTCTGGATCCTGCTCATCTGGAAAAAGGACATTCTGTATCATACATCTGACTGTCTGGGCAGTGAAATGCCTGTCGTATTTTATGCCCAAGCTTCGTGGTAATTGCCAACAAGATTGAAGCTTCAAATTCTGTAATCTCTCCTTTGTTATATCTTCAAACCTCTCTGCCATTTCTACATTCATTTTAAAAGAAATTCAGTGTTATGCTCGCGGACACAGGCCCCCCACTTGTTACACTCCAAGTATTGTAACCACTATTTCCTTCTTTTTAGAGCATAACAACTTTGGTCAGAGAGGTTAGGATAATAATAGTGATCCTCCGGAATGCCTAATTTTAATTAAGTATATTCATAATACAACAAAAGCCAGAAATAATATACGAATTATCGTATATAAGTTAAGAATGCATGTTCTATATTATCCAAAATATATATAAGGCTTTCATAACAGATGATTAGGAGATGATCCTAGATATAACATATATGTATATAGAGATTACTTTAATGTATAAAGTCTTGTTTCCCAATTGGAAGCAGTCAGAATAAAACAGAATATGTCCAGGCCGGCTAATAAACCTTGGCCAGTTACCAGAGACGAGCAGGAGTGTTCTCGTTGGCTGCTACTTCTTCACTGCTCGTCCCTCAACCTTGAGCATACAGGTAAAGTGGGTCACGTGACGTGACTCACCAACACTCAGTAGAGTAATTGAACATAAAGGGGGGGGGGGAAGGGGGGTATAACCATCGAACATCACGGCTAACTATACACCGGCACACCGGGCGGCAGGCAGGTTACTATACCTCCAATTAAACTTATCATGGCCATGTTACATAAATCATATTTGTTAATAAGAATTAGCCTTAATAATACAAGGACGTTCATTTCCAATTTAGCTATTAAAGGAAATAACCGCAATGTAATATTAAAGGAAGGTTAACCATACGGGCATGACAGTTGGTAAGTAAGACACATAGGCAACATTTATGAAACTTTATTCCGAAACGTTTCGCCTACACAGTAGGCTTCTTCAGTCGAGTACAGACAGTAGGCAGGAACAGTAGAGATGTGAAGACGATGTAATCAGTCCATCACCCCTGAAGATGTAGATTTGAGGTGGTCAGTCCCTCAGCCTGGAGAAGAGTTGTGTTCCATAGTCTGAAACAACGTGAAGACCAAGCAACAGTGTGGAGACTTATATACTGTGGGAAGGAGAGGTGTAGAGTGGTAGTAGAGAGAATGTAGTCACTGAGAGGTCACGTCTCTCTCAGATCAAACAATTCTCACTTGAAAAAGTTGTCCAATGTGTTTTCTGCACCAAGATGCCATTGTGATGCAAAGTGAATGTCAGGATGATAAACAATACCGACAACTTGGTAAGTTGTTGCCTATGTGTCTAACTTACCAACTTGTCGGTACTGTATAACGTTTTAATATTTACTTCGATTTAGATGGCGTTCTTATTGTCATATAGATGTTATTATTATTTTTATTTAGATGGCATTATTACTCTGATTAAGATGGAGTTGTTATTTTGATTTAGATATTATTATTTTAATTTAGATGTCATTATTACTTAGATTTAGATATCATTATTACTTTGATTTAGATTGCATTGTTATTTTGATTTAGTTATTATTATTTTGATTTAGATGTCATTATTACTTAGATTTAGATATCATTATTACTTTGATTTAGATTGCGTTGTTATTTTTGTTTAGTTATTATTATTTTGATTTAGATGTCATTATTACTTAGATTTAGATGCCATTATTACTTAGATTTACATGGTCATTATTACTTTGGTTTAGATGTCATTATTACTTTGATTTAGATATCATTATTACTCTGATTTATGAGTAGGAGGACGAGGAAGCATGAGAAGAAATGGAATAAGAGGAAGAAGAGGAGAAGGAGGACGAAGAAGAGGAAGAAGAGGAGGAGGAGGAGTAGGAGGAGGAGGAGGAGGAAGAGGAAGAGGTAGAGAAAGAAGAAGGAGAGGAAGTGCAAAGAAGAGGAGGAAGAAAGAGGAAGAGGAGGAGTGACGAGGAGAAAGAGGAGTAAAGAGGCGTGGGTATATCAGGAAGGCTGGGAGGTAATGGAGATTGATCAGAGGGATTGATAGGTAGAATTATGTATGATCAAAACACAGGAAGATCACAACACAGGAGGATCACAACACAGGAGGATCAGAACACAGGAAGATCAGAACAAAGGGAGATCACAACACAGAAGATCAAAACACAGGAAGATCAGAACAAAGGGAGATCAGAACATAAGATCAGATTACAGATTAAGGATTTTATTTATATTTATTTAGGCTTTAAGGTAGATAAAACACGAAACATACAGAATTCTTCAGCACTCAGATGTTAAACCACTAAAAAATTACATTTATGCCTATTTTACCTAATGTAACCCAGTAAAGTCAAATATGATTCATTCCCATTAAGGTCACCTACAAGTCTTGTAGCTGTGCATTCATAAATCCCCTAATATTACTTTATTTCCATTCAAATACCCATAATTACGTTTTTATATTAGATATTCTTTTTCGTGTTAATACAGCACATACAATGTTGGCGACGTCATCTCAAACAACATTCCATAAGAGCGTGAGAGAAGACAACAATGTGTTTTTGTCTTCATTGTTGAACGCGGCCATTGTTTACCTGTGACGTCACAGAGTTCGCGCGCAATCCACCCACAATATTCCCATATTTTCCCGCCAAAAGTTCATCCTCAATTTTTGCCAACATGAAATGACGAAATTGCTCCTAGTGTTGATCCGGGAAACCCGCTGGCTTAAAATTTTCAAGTTATAATGGTTCTCTCTCAGGGTAAAAGCTGTGGGATTCGTGCTCTCTTTTCTCTCTCTCTCTCTCTCTCTCTCTCTCTCTCTCTCTCTCTCTCTCTCTCTCTCTCTCTCTCTCTCTCTCTCTCTCTCTCTCTCTCTCTCTCTCTCTCTCTCTCTCTCTCTCATTGTTGAATCTCACCTCACGGGGAAATAAAAATTACAAGAATAGCGGAGCACTGCCATGGGTCTACTAGTCCATGCTAGGCACGTCTTTCTCACCCAAACCTAACGTAATTCCATTCTACAACAACTCTATTGCCAAAGCAGTATTTCCCTATGTTGGGATGTGTTCGAAGGAGTGATGTTGGGTTGCAATAACACAAAATACCTGATGTGTTATGGTATATTGATGGAAGAAGGTGGAACCTAGTTTGGGGCATGTCTGCCCTGAAGCCTAGCCTGAATAGTACTGACTAGCCCTGGGCAGCCAGGAGGTGTATCAAGTGACACAATAATAGTCAGGAGGTCAGTATAGGTGGACACTAGTGAGAGTACAGATTGGGGTACATAGTACTGGCACCACAGTAATGGTCAAAGAGGGGGTCAGTATGGGTGAACACTAGAGTACAGGCTGGAGTACATTGTACTGATACCTACACCTTTTCCAGGTCGGATTTATTCAATCTGAATCTCATATTTTGAGTTCTTGGTTAGACACGACCCTCATAATATCTGCTTGGTTCACACTAGTCTTCCGCTTGAGTAGGTGTATTTAATCCTTAGTGATGCACACCCCAGTGACTCGCACCAAAGTGATGCATGTCCCAGTGACTCACACCCGAAGAAAGTGCACCCTAGTGACTCACACCCCAGTGACTCACATCCCAATCACTCGCACTGCACTGACTCGAACCTCAGTGATAGACGCTCCAGTGATACACACCCCAGTGACTCACACCCCAGTGATACACACCCCAGTGACTCACACCCCAGTGACTCGCACCAAAGTGATGCATATCCCAGTGACTCACACCCGAAGAAAGTGCACCCTAGTGACTCACACCCCAGTGACTCACATCCTAATCACTCGCACTGCACTGCTCGAACCTCAGTGATGGACGCTCCAGTGATACACACCCCAGTGACTCACACCCCAGTGATACACACCCCAGTGACTCACACCCCAGTGATACACACCCCAGTGACTCACACCCCAGTGACTCGCACCAAAGTGATGCATATCCCAGTGACTCACACCCGAAGAAAGTGCACCCTAGTGACTCACACCCCAGTGACTCACATCCTAATCACTCGCACTGCACTGACTCGAACCTCAGTGATGGACGCTCCAGTGATACACACCCCAGTGACTCACCCCAGTGATGCACAACCCAGTCACTTGCACCCCAGTGATGCACACCCCGGTGTTGAACACCCCAGTGACTCACACCCCAGTGATATATCAATGATAATGGTTTTATCTCTGGTAGTGATGAATGAATGATAAGGCTTTGGAGGCATCTTACTTTGTTGGTTCTTCTACAAAGACAGTGTGTTTTAATTGCCCTGGGGCCTAGCTACTGCGGGGCCCCGCTACGAGGGGCCTAGCTACTGCGGGGCCCCGCTACGAGGGGCCTAGCTACTGCGGGGCCCCGCTACGAGGGGCCTAGCTACTGCGTGGCCCTGCTACGAGGGAGAGAAGAGTAGGTTTGTTGTCTCTAGGCTGCCTGATGGGAGAGTGAGGCAGAGTGAGAGTGATGCGGGCTGAGCTTGATAGGCCTATAGATGTTGGCACCCCAGTTATGCACACCAAAGTGATGGGCACCCTAGTGACTTGCACCAAAGTGATGGGCACCCTAGTGACTTGCACCCCAGTAACTCCACTCCAACGACACACCCCACCTATGTTCACTCCAGCGACGCATATTCTTGTAAAGTGACTTTGGCCGCACCCCCACACCTGAAGTTACCCATTATATATTCCCCCTTCCACTCCTGAAGTTACCCATTACCTTCCCTTTCCACTCCTGAAGTTACCCATTACCTTTCCCTTCCACTCCTGAAGTTACCCATACCTTCCCCCTCCCACACCTGAAGTCACCCATTACCTTCCCTCTCCCACACCTGAAGTCACC